TCTCTTCCAACCCAACCATTCTGTGATCCCACGTTTCTAAGCACAGGCTCCATCCACAGAGATAAGGAATGGATCAGCCTCTTCCCAACAGATGAGCCTCTTCCCAAGTTTTAGCTGGTTTTGCCCAACAAGGGGTCACGGCAGAGACAAGCATTTGACAGCTCCTTAGATCCTGGAGGTTGGATCCTCAGTTACACAATCTCTTGCCCGTGTTTACACAACAGGAGCTGCTGTGTGCACATTAAACCCAGCTCAGCAGCCTGTTCCCAAAAGCAAAACTGAAACTGGTCCTGTCCTTATGTCCTCTGAGAGAATGGAAACTGAGCTGCAGGTGCCCAGGGGGTGGAGGCAGGTGGGTGCCTTGGCCACTGCTCATTGCTGCCTTTTCTTCCAGGCAATGCCAGCGAGGTGCTGAAAGAATGGACTGTAACAGGCAAAAAAAAGGTAACACTCCTCAAATCCACTTTGTAAGGTGTTGATCTTTCTCTTTGGAGGATTTAGGCCACAGAGAACAGCGGCACTCTGGGTGATTTAGGTGGGAGGAGAAACCAAAGAGCAGAGGTGGTGCTCAGAGCTGAGGCACGGGGTTAATCAGCAGGGTTTGGGGTTTTCCCTTCACTCTGCACCCTCCCTCACCTCACCACGTCTGCCTTTCACTCACTTGTCAGACAGAAAGTAGCATCTGGGATTAAAACCAACCCCAACCCCTTTGGAGGCTTCCCACCCTCGCAGTGGCTTTTCTGCTGACCCTCCCCGGGCCTCCTCATCCCCACACACCCACCCCCCTGCTGAAGTAAATCTCTCCCAGGTCCATTTATTCCGCCCCAGCTCCGTAATTCACCGTTGGGACAGTCAGAGCTGCTCCATTTTTCATCTGTAACCTTTGGAGCTGAGCAGTTGCATTTCATGCTGAGCTCTGTGGAAATATATTTCTCCTGTCACGTGAACCTTCGCCGGCCTCTCGCCACCTTCTCCTCTCAGCCCTCTGTGAAAGGGTTAAAAAAAGATTGGCTGGAGTTTCAGTACTCCGAGTTTCAGCACTTGATATTCTAATACCTAAATCCACCAGGACAAGAATAAAATCATAATTATTCCAAAGGATTCCTTTGAATACCTGAAAAGCACCAGCACGAAATGGAGGGGGGTGGGTGGGGTGTGGAATGTGGCTGAGGAGCGCTGGGGTGGGGACTGAGGGAGGTCTTGTCAGAGGGCACCCCGGGAGCTGCACCCTGCCCTGAGCACCCCAAAAGGGACCCAGCTGGTGCTGGGAGTGCAACCAGCAACCTCCCAGTGACCTCCCAGTGGTGGGGCAGCCTTCACCTCTTGTCATCTTGAGGGGATGTATCCGCGCCTCATTAATGTCACTCTCTCTGTCCTCATTGTTGAATAAATCCCTCCTCCTGTTAATAGGATCAACAGCCAGGCTGCCTGAAAACCCCTTTAATTCAGCTACTTTCCACCCATAAGCACAAGCTTAATTTTCCCTTCAGGAATTAAGCTGAACGTGTTATGTTATTGTTTTGGTTTTTATCTCCCTTTGCGGCGCGGATCCCTAATCCTCAGAACAAGAAGAAGAAAACCAAACCCAAACCACAGACCGACTCCAGCTCTGGCCTCCCAGAGCCTGGGAAATTGGTGTCCACTGAAGAGGAGCAGTCGGCAGCCTCGGAGAAGGGGGGGATGAATGGTTTCCATGTCAACGGCTGCACCCACGACACCGAGTCCGTGGACTCGCTCAGCGAAGGTTTGGATGCGCTTTCAATTGATGCCAGAGAGCTGGAGGATTGCGAGGCGCCGGCCGTGGCTGATGGAACAGGTCAGTCTCTCAAGGAGATGGACACCAAGCAGCTGCCTCCTCATTTATTTTGTTTTTTTTTTTTCTGGCCCTGCCTTGGTTCGGGTCAGCTCTGACCCAAAGCAGTGGTAAAGGGAAGAGGAAACGGCCTCAAGTTGCCCCAGGGGAGGTTGAGGTTGGAGCAGAGGAACAATTTCCGCCCCTTGAGGGTTGTTTCAGGGCTGTGGTGGAGTCCCCACCCCTGGAGGGGTTCCCAAGCCGTGGAGATGTGGGGTGAGGGACACGGGTTGGGGGGACCTGGCCGTGCTGGGGGTGATGGTTGGTCTCCATGAGCTGAAAGGTCTCTTCCAACCCAAACCATTCCATGATTCCACGACTACAGATATCCATGGCTGTCCCTCCATCACAGAGCAGCTCCCCCCTGCTTCGGGACGTCCTGGTGCTGGTGGTGGTGGTGGTGGAGGTGGTCGGCGTTCCGCCCTCCTCTCCCCGTCCCCCTTTTAAACCAGTTTGCTTTTCTACAGCAGTGCCTGACCTAGAGAATGGACTAGCAGAGTCTGACACAAAATCGCTCACCCTGCATCCTTCCCAGAGCCCTGCACCCCCCCGACAGCGCCCGGGGCAGAGGAGCTCCACCAGGTCTCTGTCCAGACCCGCAGCCAGCGCCTCGACTCCCTCCTCCCTCTCCGTCTCGCTCCTGGAGGACGTTCCCCTTTCACCCACCAACAAGAAGCTGGGTAAGACCCCCCCCTCCCCGAGGAGATGGTGGCTGCTGGTTGGCATCTCCCCCCTCCCCTCTCCTGGGGGGTGCTGGGCTTTGATTTTAATGCGAGCTAACACGCCGCGGATTATCCGGCCGCTCCTCCTCCTCCTCCTCCTCCTCGGGCACAGCAGGAACCTTGGCTGAGGTTTCAGATGCAGCCCCTAGAGCACAACCCCCCCCTGTGAGAGGAGCTGGGAGGACGTGGCTGCTCCCGCTGTGCCCGTTTAGCCCCTCACAGCCTTTGGGTTGGTTCTCATCTTTTGTGCCAATGCATCGAAAGGCCAGAAGTCCGGAGAGCTCCTGTCACCAGAAGTGACAGTTTCCTTCTAGTGGCTTCTTGTTGGGTGGTTTTTTTTTTTGCTGTCTCCTTTCATGTGCCTTCAAACAGCTGAGTTTTTACAGTAACAAGTGGGGACAGGAGTGACCTTAGAGCCCCAGATTGTGACTGTGGCTCTTGCTGTTGGCAGGGGGGGTGGTGGCACTTCGCCCCTCGCCGCGCGGAAAGCTGCAGCCAACGCTCCTTAATGCAGCTTGGCACCCTGGAGAGTGTGGGTGAGGGCAAGGAGACGTGTCCTGCCACGAGCACAGACCTTGGGCACCCTGACCAATCCCTTCAGCCCCCGATTTGAGGCAAATAACCTCAATTTTGGTTTCAGAGATAATTCCCTTCCTCAGGAGGAGCTGTTTCGTGGCGTCGAGCGATACGCCGCGATGCTCTTCGGAGGAGACTTGTCTCCAGTCCCTGGCACAAAAGCAGCTCAGAGATGCATTTGATTTCTCTCATGTATTTAAAAATGTGGAGCCTCATCCCTGCCCGTAGCGGGGAAACTCGACAAGCTCTGGGAAAAACCTTCCCTGCTCAGAAAAATCTTTCAGACTGTCCCCGCTGACCCTCTTGCCTTTGTAACGGGGAAAGGGAGAGGGGGGGGGGGAAAAATGGAAACCAGAGTGTCATCTAGTTTTAAAATAAGAGGGGAAACCATCTTCAGATCGATCCCTGCTGGGAGGATGGAGAGGAGTGATTGACGTGGCTGCTGGAGCTGCTTCTGTCTCTTGGTAGGTTCTAATATTGAAAAATCAGTGAAGGATCTGCAGCGCTGCACCGTGTCCCTGGCACGCTACCGGGTGGTGGTGAAGGAGGAGATGGACGCCTCCATTAAGAAGATGAAGCAGGTCTTTGCTGAGCTGCAGAGCACGTAAGTTCCATGGAGGAGCAGGCCCAGGGTCTTGAGACTCAAATATTTAGGGTAAGACCACAGTTTTTTCTAGCCAGGTGACTTGCTGGCATCTGGGATTCCTCCACGGCTGGGAGCCGGCGCATCCTAAAAACTGAAGTCCACCTCTGCGGCCACCTTTTTGTTTTGGCAGCTTTGCTGGGGCCCTGCTTCTGTCCAAGCTGTCATCCCACACGTGTGGTGGGATGTTAATGGAGTGTTTGAGGCTGTGGTGTGTCTGTCAGGGTCTGGGGTGGGCT